TTTTTTTGGTTTTTCGAGACAGGGTTTCTCTGCGTAGCTTTGCGCCTTTCCTGGAGCTCACTTGGTAGCCCAGGCTGGCCTCGAACTCACAGCGATCCGCCTGGCTCTGCCTCCCGAGTGCTGGGATTAAAGGCGTGCGCCACCACCGCCCGGCTTGAATGCCACATTTTCAAAGGTAGCTCCTTGGACCTCTACTGAAATGTTAATCTTAGATGTGCATCCAGTTAGCAAAACAGTATCACAAATATGTGGTACAGGGAAAATGTGGCTGTGCTCATGGTAATGTTACAGACTTCAGAGTTTCCTCACCAGGGTTTCCCCCATCAGCATATACAAATTCCCGGGGTTCTTGGCTTGGATTGGGAGGATAAAGAAAGGCTGTGCACCAGCCTTCTAGCTCCTCTTGAAAAAATAAATAGTTCAGTGATGGTGCAAAGTTCCTCTGAACATAACTGAAACGCAAGTCATACTTAACCTATGAAAAACAAGGAGAAAACATTGGCCATCAGATCTTGGGACTCAGCAACGGTACAGGACAGGGCAAACTATTTGGCTTTAACTCTTTAAGTCCCACACAGGCAGGTGTCCCTCCTGGAACTACACAGTGGTCTTCCCTGTATTTCTCTACAAATTATCCCTGTGACCAACCTGGGAAAAGAGCCATGGGCTGTAGAGTATGCTGGAACCAGGTCACCTAGACCTCCGCCCCAAATTTCTTATTGAACTGCTGTCACCCTGGGCAAGTTACTTAGCCTCACTTAATCATTACGCCTCAATATCCTCACAGTGAAAGGGGGATGATAACAACAACCTCATCCATTAGCTGCCTAGAGGGTCACACAATGTGCTATCTGACATGTATATGACATTAACACATGCTTAATTTTTATTAATCACAGTGCAAGTTCTAAAGGTCATTAAACAGCCTATATACCACAGAAGCTACACGTAAGTGTTTTACCCATTGCAAAACATAAATCAAATATTCTTGTTTAACATATTGTTTTTCTTTAAACACACATGCAGAGCTACCATATCTAAATCTGATGATTAGTAGTAATGATAATTAACTAATCCAACCAGAAAATTCTTGCTCCCCATCTACCCAACTGCTCTGTTCTAAGCACTTCACATGCATAAACCTGAAAACCAACTCATAATCCAGGCACTAACTCAACCACACCGAAATGTGAACAAATTTCCCAAAGTTATACAGCTGATAAGGGACAAAGCTGGGGTTCAAGTTTCTTCTGCCAAGTGGTCGAGTCAGCTTCTGTAACCAAACAGCCAAACACACTCCATCCTGTGCTGAGGACAGAGACTTGCTTAAACAGTCTGAAAACAGCAACGGTGTGGGCTGTAAGGTGTGAACTTGGAATCTCCACTCGTTTCCTCTGGAAATAAGATGACAAGGCTACCATAGAAGAAAGCGGAGGGGTAGATGCCTGATTAACCCACGCTACGTAGTCACATAGTAAGACTGCTGTAGGGAAGACTTTCTTACCACGAGTGGCAAAGGTTCACTGCTGCTATTGAAGGTATGGTCAAAAACAATTCCCACCAGTATGTAGAAAGACCTGGGATCCTTAATTATGTAGTTTTCAAATAAAGGCACCGAAGGAAAGCCTAGAACTACAAAAAGAAAAATCCAGTCAGTGAATAACTGGGCATGAAAGCAAGTAATGCCATCAATTATCTATCTAAGGAAATTTAAGATTCCAGCTTACTTCTCCATTCACTCACTCAGTCATTCTGTAAACATATGAGCAGAGAAAGAGAGAAACACAAAAAATAAGATTAGTTAAAAGGCATGATTTTTAGCCAGGTGGTAGTGGCACACACCTTTAATTCCAGCACTCGGGAGGCAGAGGCAGGAGGCAGGTGGACCTCTGAGTTCGAGTCCAGCCTGGTCTACAGAGTGAGTTCCAGGACAGGCAAGGCTACATAGAGAACCCCTGACTTTTGTTTTTGTTGTTATTATTCAGTTCAGAACTTACAGCACAGCCAGCAACTGCCTTTAGATATCAAGAAAGTAATGCTGAGGAAAGAAGAGAGATAGCTCTTTTTTTTTTTTTGGTTTTTTCGAGACAGGGTTTCTCTGTGTAGCTTTGCGCCTTTCCTGGAGCTCACTTGGTAGACCAGGCTGGCCT